TATGAGTTTTAGTTATTTTGGTACTCCAAGTTAAACTATACTGAGAAATGAGAAAATAAAACAAGTTTATATATATATATATATATATATATATATATATTAGTTAACAAATTTTTATTTATATTTTAGTATTATATATATATATATATAAAATAAAATAAATTGAATAAGTAAATAATTTTAAAATAAACTGTAACTACAGTACTACAGTGCGTAAAAAAAGGCATTGATGCAATGTAACATAGAAATTTAATAAACTAAATGCATGGAAAATATATAGCTGGCTTTGAAATTTAACAATTTACAACAGGGGTCCCTTACGATCATATTTGGGGTCCGTGTTGTCTAAAAAGATTGAAAACCTCTCAACTAAAGCATCGAACTATATTAATACTGGTGTATATTATATATATATATATGCACAACTAAGCAGCAGCATGAGCCTATTATTGATAACATATCATATTATTATATTATATTATATATTACAGATGACATATAACAAATATCACGACAGACGCGTTCGTCCTGCGGTAAGCGAGCTAGCTAGCGTTCAGGCCGCGCTACTAAAGCCCTGAGGAGAATAATCCAGAGAGAAAGCAAACTAGAAACAAAAACTTACGCTTATTTGGGTCTAGATGTGCGGTCGGAGTGGGCAGCGACTCGGGGACAGGCGGGGAGCTCGAGGGTTTTCTCCGGTAGCGTGATTTTGTCCCGTTTCTTTCTGCAGCCGTTTGTTTCTGTACGCGTCTCACACAGACTGGGGCGCGGCGCTCCGCACTCGCTGAGGTGAAGAGGCTTCTGATTGGTCCGCGTCACACGAGCTCCCGCCCACTTCGAGAAACCGCCTTTGATGTGAGCCGCCCACATCAGCGATGGGCGGGGCCTGTCCGTCCGCCTGTGTAATCTGTTGTTTTGTGTGAATAACAGTTTCTAACACGGTTTTTCAGTTAATTAGCTTTTTTTTTTAACTGCACATCTATTTTTAAAAGCTTATGCTTATAGTTTGAACCTGTAATATACATGCATATATACTTATGCAATCATTAAAATAATGAAAAAATATGCGCGTTGCAATGAATGCGCATCTTTCAGAGTAGTAGTAATGCTAGTAGTGTTATATATATTTAATATATTAGTTTAATGTTTTATATATAATTCTAGTAATGCTGAAATATTGTAATGTGAAAATTGCAAGGCACGGTCATCAAGGTCATTTGAAGTGATAAAATGTATAACTTAAACGCAATGTAATTTCAAATTACATTTACATTTAGTCATTTAGCAGATGTTTTAATCCAAAGCGATTTACAAATGAGGACAATAAAAGCAATCACACTAGTGTTAGAGGGTATTTTTTTAAATAAAAATAAAGCAAGTCAAAAGAATAGAAAAATAATAGAAAATGCCAGTGTTAGAGGGTTATTTTTTATAATAAATAAAAAGCAAGAAAGACGATAGAATAGAAAAAGAATAGAGAATGCTAGTGTTAGAGGCTCTTTTTTTTACAAAGAAAACAAGTAGTAAGAATAGAAAAAGAATAGTGTGCGCTATATATTTATTAAAAAAAATAGAATTAGAATAGAGTGCTATATTTATTTTTTGGTTTGTTTGTTTGTTGTGGGCTTTTTTTTTTTAAAGCAGCACTATGTAACTTTTCTGTGTATAAAATTTGCTAAATGTATATAATGAGCGAGTACATCATTAATTAATCTTCCAAACCGCGTTTTTGTCTTATTCCGAATCACTCCGGTACCCTTCTAATAAGTGCTTATATTCGGACTATTGTAGCCTGGTCACCGCTGCGGAGTAACACATACCTGCGTGAATCGCCATAGACATAAACTAGGAGAAGGAGATCCGGTTAGAATGTTCTTCCGCGGGATGTGTGCAGTTCTGTTTATTAACCGCTAGAGCGCCAAACGTTACATAGTGCTGCTTTAAAGCAAATTTAAGGTTTGTCAGTTCTCAAGTTCACCACGTGAGGTCGCCAGTTTACACTACTACTGTATTTACCAGTAAGTTAATAATTTCCCTGGTGGTCATTAGTCGTCTTGTATAGATCTTAAATGTTGTGCATTTTCAGTTCTGAGATGCTTATATTGTAGTTAATGGATGACTGTTTTGAATTATCATGCCATTTATACGCACAGTTTCCTAGACTTCATTTGGCTCTTGTGCCTCAGGATTGGTTATGGTTATAAAATTATAAATAAGTTTTGCATATGGACCTTAGTGATGCTGCTGAGTTAGTGACAGCATATGAAAAGATTGTTTAATGCTCACTTTAGCACAGATTTGTGGTTTGTTACGTGGTTGGATCCCAGCCATCAAAAGATCTGGTCCAGAATCAGTGCAAAAAGAAAAACCTCGACACTGAATCCCCCCCGAGTAACCTTGAGATCTGGATTATTATGCAGTTTGAAAGGAAATCTTCCTCTAATGCAACAAACTGAATGTAAATACACAGTTTTTGATGTGCTCTATTATATTTGCTTTAAATAAGCAGTGGACTCACTGGGTGACCTAATATGGTATTATGTCTTTATTCTTGCTGTAAACAGTGTAATGAGATCTCACCATCAGAGATTTGCATCATCAGTTATTGTAATGAATATAACATTAAAAGAAAGAAAGAAAAGAGGCTAAAAACCGGTTCGGGCACATTCTCCAGTAGCTTCATGCATCATAAAAGCTGTTTGAGATGTTTACTCGGTCACTTTCTGCTCGACTCTGCTGTTCTTTGCTGCGATTACTGAAGGCTTGATGCTTTAGTAGCTGACTGCTTCAAGGATTTAAATACAAAACTGAAAAAGGAATAAATATTCCCAGATCTGGATCTAGGTGAGAGTCAGATGGATGCATGGAATTTGTGCATTTCTAGATTGCATTCACATTAGAATAGTTCTGATACAGTTCTATTGCAGAATTTGGGGGTCTGAGAAAGAAGGAAAATGTCTGTTTAGTTGAGAATGTCTTAATATGTCACTCCTATGCTTTGATTTGAAAATGTTTCAAACATCATCTTGCATTCTTCGATGCAATTACGACACTTTTTAGGAGTTCACGTAATCAATAATCACTCATTTGTGTACACCTGATCAATTCTAGATGACTAGTGAAGACTGTTAAATATTTCTTCTTCATTTAATGATATCTCACAGTTCAATGTCCAGTATATTTTCCAGGTGAATGACAATTTTTATCCTGCACTGGTTTTCTTTTCTCTATGATTATTCTGTCGTACTAATGTTTGTTCAGTCATGGCCTGATTTCTCTTTAATAGTGATGCATTGTTATGCTTTCTGCAAAGGTAGGATGACAAGAAAACTAAAAGAGATGCCAGGGAGAGAACAAAACACAGCTGAAGAAAAAGAAAAGCAGAGAAAGGAAACAGCACTGAGAGACAAAGCTGCGCAGAAGGCAAAAACATTGAAGAGAGGGGAAAAAAACACCTGTGGATTCAGAGAACATCTAAAAGTGCACCAGATGAACAGCCTTGACATAAATCGATCAAACTGTAAGAACATTCGGGAGGATTTTCAGATTTGAAGACAATTATCTGTAGAACAGTATATATGTTTACACAGTATATATATATATGGTGTGTGTGACCCTGGAGCACAAAACCAGTCATAAGTGTCAATTTCTCGAAATTGAGATGTATACATCATCTGAAAGCTGAATAAATAAGCTTTCCATTGATGTGTGGTTTGTTAGGATAGGACAATATTTGAAAATCTGGACTCTGAGGGAGCAAAAAAATCTAAATATTGAGAAAATCATCTTTAAAGTTGTCCAAATGAAGTTCTTAGCAATGCATATTACTAAGCAAACATTAAGTTTTGATATATTCATGGTAGGAAATGTACAAAATATCTTCATGGAACATGATCTTTACTTAATATCCTAATGATTTTTGGCATAAAAGAAAAATGTATCATTTTGACCCATACAATGTATTGTTGGCTATTGCTACAAATATACCCCAGCGACTTAACACTGCTTTT